TCAAGAAAAATAGGTAAGAAATAACAATTGTACTCTTGAAAAAATACAGAGTACCTATGTATAAGAAATATAAAAATAAGTTATATAAAACACAAACAAAGTACAGATAAATTGGCTAATGATGAACTAATTACGTAGAAAGAAGACGGAACTCACTGAAAAAAATCAAAGCAGTCGAGGTTTAAAGGCGCTAGTATAAAAATAACATAATTATAGCCTTATAATTATAAGAAAAATTTAACGTTCTTATGTCACTAAAAAAAAAGTTATTTAACGTTAATGAAATATGTATGAAACTGCGTTTGTACATAATTAAAGTACTGTTTATTGTTCTCATGCTCATAATAATTAATGGGAGACCCAATGTAACTACTGTAATAGCCGCAACTTGGGTGAGGGTTCTCGTAAAATAATAAATAGGTTGCAAATGAATGGTGGATTACGTTTAATCTTTGAAATGCGGAGACATTTAGCATAAAACTCTATAACCGGCTGTTTTTAACTTCCAAATGGAAAAGTGACCCATTTCTCAGATATTTACAATTAGAAACCAATTTATAAATTACTAGTGACCCCGCAAACATTCTTTTGCTATATACATTAAAATCGCTTTTAAAAATAGGGGTTGGTAACAGAAGGGTAAAAATTTACGGTTGTATGTATTTTTAAAGCCATATTATAATAAAATAAAAATAAATTGTCCAAAAAATAAAAAAATAAGATTAGTGGTGGACTACCCTACTATATCGACTACTATCTATTTTCGATATCTCTAAGTGATAACCCTTAGGGATATCAAAAAGTACCCGATTCTCAGAGCTACTGAATACGCATATAAAATTTCATAAAAATCGGTCAAGCCGTTTCGGAGGAGTATGATAACTGACATTGTGATACGAGAATTATATACATAAGATTTTTATTTAACGACAAACATAATTTCGGATATATTTCAATAATGAGCAATTTAAATTCATAAATGGCTGTTTTTATACACCGTAGTCGATACAAATAAATATTAAAATGCATTATTTATAGCCGCTCGTGGCTATTTACGAAATTGATCGTAATTGAAATTAATGTAATATAGTAATTTAATTTTATGTTCCCGCCATCCGCAGCCATTTTGAAGATGGCTATTCCCATGGCTTCAGTTTACAGATAATTTATTACGTCAATAAAACTGACATAAAAGCTATCTAAACAATAGAATTATAAATAAATTATATATTTGCTAATTCTAGTCGTTGTATAACGTTGTTTGTTCTTCCTCATTCTTCTCAACTAAATATCCGAAATGAGTATTCAAATTATTTATTTATGTCACGGTAGATAGTCAAAGGTTATTCCACTTTTCTGCCATCAAAAAGAAGAATTTCTTTGTATAAAAACACTTGTCTTACTGCTCCTTTTCATTCAGGGTGTTTTGAAAGAAAAGTCTTACAGATCACCTGTTATTGAACTGTGTTATTTATGTTTTAGCAATGTTAATTTTTTTGCAATTAATTAAAACTTACATAAATAAACATAATTATATAGATATATTATGTACCGATTATGATGATTAATTGCATAATTGACAGCGGAAGTAGTTACATTTAATTTTAACACTCTTTACATTATTTATTGTTTTAAACTTAATTCACTTTGAAACTACTCCAAATAATAGTAGTTGTCTATAAACATTTTACTACAAAAGACTTTTTAATAACACACGGGACTATAAAGTTAACGTGACATAACTTCCAGTTTTGCAGTCACAAACTTGGAAACAGGACAAACACATTACACTCAGTTGAAACAATTGTAAACAGGTGACAGATAAAACTGTTCTATCTACAACTGAGCTTAAAGGAGTTGATTGATTACGGTAACTTTGTTGCAATATTACGGAAAAAAATTCTATGTATTTCTCTCTAGTGTACATAACACAAGCTTTAGCTACCTTAACTTCAGTTTAGACGGTATTGTGTGATTTGTACTGAGATTATTATTATTATATATCTCCCTTTTGACGGGGGTAATACTTTCAAACACTTATTATTACTATTATTATTATTATAAACAACAATAAATAAAGTAACAAGCAAATAGAGAAATAAATAAAAAAAAAACAGATCTTTAATTTAAATTAATACTAGTTGCTGATTTTCATCATTGCACTACACGCCGGAAACTAAAATACCATACTGATTTTCTGGATGAATGGCGGTCCTCCATCGTGCGTTTTTCTAGAAACTTTTTGCCACTCACAATAATATTGTAGAAATACCTTACAGCAATGGTATTCCCAAACCGATATCGAAACCTTCAAGAAAAGAGCTTGTTTTCCTGGTGTTGCGGGTGCTCATGGGCGGCAGTAACCACTTACCATTAGGCGAATCGCAAGCTCATTTGTCTCCTATGCTATAAAAAAATCGAATACGGATAGTCTGTGTGAAAATTCAGTTCTGGGTAAAAGGGTTTTACTACTGCTGGTATTTTATTATACTTATGTATTAAAATAAGTAAACAACCATATCTAAAAAAATATGATTCTCAACAGCGTATTACGGCAGTCATAACATTTCAAAGAAAAAAACAACGATCTACTAAGTATAAAAATTCACTGTCGCTTATGCATAAACAGTACCGCAGTCATAACAAAATATATTGCAGCACTTCTCTTTCTCTACATTGTTGTTCCTGTACTAACTTGCAATGCAATTTAAACAATAGCTTAAAAGACAAGCTAATTGCGGCAAAAATAGGTAACATAGTAAGAACCCACGCAATCGCCTTTGTACGTAATCTCGTTGTACAAAGCCAGTTGCTCATAAAAGTTTGTTTGAACATGTACAAACTCATGTATAATATGTGTTATGGAATATTGAAAATACACAAATGTTGTGCAAAGATCTATCTGTCTACTGCCGTCACAATATTTCAACATTTCCAAGTGCGTAGAATCATCATCGTTGCATTTTTTATTCAACATCACACGTATGTTCTAATCGTATAATGTTTATACATAACAAAAAGTAAATATAATATATATATTAAATAAAACAGTCTGTAAATTCTATATATGAATCTGTGTTGATTTATATCATTGTTTTAATAGTAAAATGTAAAATTTTAAATTTAAATGTAGTTTGTAAATAACGTAGTATCTTTTGCCAAGCAGTGAGGCATGAAATAAACTGTTACGTTTTTATTTAGTCATTCATTTATTTGTTTAAAATAATAAATTAAATAATTTCAATACATTAAACTCTTTATGCCAATGATAAATTTCTTAAAAATGTATTTTCTCTTAATAAATACAAAATATATGCATTTACTTAAACAGTTTTGTTAACTAATACTTTTTTTAGTTCTACAGTAAATAAATCTACGCAATTTAAGGTCTAGCAGCATAGCATACAGTCTTACATCCGATGGTCGCGCTTTCGATTCCTCACGAATAAAATAAATGTGCATTCATGAGTATGCGTATGATTGCTTGTAGTCTCGGTGTCTTCTATGTATTACAAAACAATTTTTTTTATTATTTCAGTCACTTATTTAGTACTCATAATACATGCTCTGCTTAGATTGAGGCTGTGTAAATTGTCTTAAGTTGTTATTTTTATCTAACCTGATTTATCTAATCGAAAATAAGTTAAAGAATTTAAATAACAAACACTTGTAATTTCGGATTAGATTATGATTTGGTCAATTTAATTCCGAAAGTGAAATTGGATTGAAACTGAATCAAGTACTGTCGAATAATAGAATAATACGTCCATACTTTTGTTATATATGATGAACATTCACGGAGAGTGCAATAAGTGCATAAAGCAATTTCTGTAATGGTGATATGAGGTGGCTGTCTCGAGGACTGAGAGCTCACAATTCTCCATCTTTACTCAAGAGAGTGGGTTTTTATATCTTCCAAGTTCGTAGTGTTTGTGATGAACGGATTGTATTCTGTCATAATATAATATAATATAATATAACATAATCATTATTATTACATAGTATAAAGCAAAGTCGCTGTTGCTGTCTGTCCGTTTCTATTAAATAATTCTAATTAAATCTTTAAAACTACTACGAATAGAGTGATTCAAGAGGAAGGTTTATATATAATATATATTTAGAAATAAATACATAGATATATTTTTTGGAAATATATGTGCATAGAAATACCTAGAACGATACAAACAATCATAGCCATGAATATGAATGTTTGTAACATGCAAGGAATCAAACCTGCGACCGCGAAGTAAAGTGCTGTGCTAAATTGCTAGACCATGATAATATGAGTATGTGCCAACTATTTATTTCCCCCGACGTAAACTTTGTACAAAGTCGTCTGCGCACATATTTCAATTTAAAAATGTAAAGTTACAACTAAATTATTTAAAAGGGCAACACGCAGTTTCTTGCTCGTTCTTCTTGTGACGAGACAGCTTTCCGAACGAGCGGAAGATTAAAAAAATAAGTAATGACTATTCAAAAGTGCTTAAATGAAAGTTTATTTGAATAAACAATTTTCAATTCTATTAAATTCTGCGTGAATATCTCTGACTTACCTTGTTTAGTTAATAAACAGCTTGATTTGTAGGCTGTATTTATATTGAAGGATATTGTAGAGGAATTTCTGGATGCTGCGTATATGACTTTTAAGCCCTCCGAAATAGCAACGCATGTGTGATATGATAACGTGATATCCGTAGTACTGTTCATGTATATAGGCAAGTGTTACCACTTCTCTTAGATGGGCCATCAGCTAGTTTGGCAATCCATAAAAATATATATTCAGAATAATTTCTATTAACATGCAAACATTGGGTTAATAATTATTTAAGCTTAATATCTTATACAATGCTGGAAACCATATTTCCAGTATTTATGGTAAATTCTGCTCCACAGATTCTGTGTTGTAAATTATTGTCTATATTTTTTATTTTTAGTCCATATTATTGTGATAAGAGATTCAATACAAAACAATTGTATAATATAATAATAAACAACAATTAGTTCAACATATAAATTATATTAATACAACTTTCAATATATAAAACAAAAATCGCATATAATATGTACAAAACAATTAAAATATTTATTACGATACTGTACATGCGTGAGTCTCAGGTATAAAAATACATATTAATAATGTTTAATAGTAGTTTAACGATTTCTTATAAAAATATTTTTCAATTTAATCAATAATCCTCGATATCCTCTATTGTATAGTCAATTTACAGGCAAGTTTTCGTGTAGCCACGTCCTTCTGCCTTCGTTGAACTCGGCTGCGGTGTGGTCGGTGCCTTCTAATATCCATTTGGTGGTGAGAAGGCCTTCCACGCCGACAGGACCTAGAACATTTACAAATTTTATTGAAACTTTGCTCGCATAACATACCACAATATGTACATACACTATAACGACCTATAGATTACGCACGGCATAAAGATTTGTATTCATCAGTATGATTGTTTGTGTCGGTCTGGATATTTTCCATATATAATATGAATGTATTTACGAAAAAAAAATTATCTATGTATTTGTATTAGTTATCTAGTACCCATAACGCAAGCTTTAGCTAGCTAAAGCTTGCGTTATGGGTCTAAGTAAAGCTAGCTTAACTTGGATCTAGACGGCGCTGTGTGAATTGTCCTGAGATTATTATTATTTTCACTATTGTCGCATTATCTCAGCTTTTGCTGGTTTTTTACCACACTTACGGGCCTTATTATTATTATATTCTCTTTTTCGCAGTTTAAGCTGACTAGTAGCGAGGACGGGACATGCCAAGTCTCTCGATTATTTTTATTATGTATTTTTCATATAATCCTTCTTCTTTAACCACTCCATCTACTGCTGAATACTGCGTTAAATCCGTTGCATAGCTTTAAGGATACAGATAGCGGCTGGCACTTTGTTTTATGTAAAGATATTTATTTATTATTTAAATAAAATATTTTACCTCTAGCATGAATCCTGGCTGTAGAGATGCCGACCTCAGCGCCAAGACCGAAGCGGAAACCGTCGGCGAAACGTGAGGACACGTTGTGGAATACACACGCGCTGTCCACGGTGCTCAAGAACTGTTTTGCTGTACTTTCTGCAAATATTTTTATAAATTTATAGACACTATTACATGTAAATTATAAATAAATACATAATTGCAGACCTGTAATGGATATGCAAATTATATATATATATATATATATATATATCTTATTATTTATAAGGATATAACCCACCAATCTACATAGTTAATATAGTATTATAGTTGCGATTGATAGCAACTAACTGGCGTCCACTTCAAATATAAAAATTAGTCCTTCCAACCAGAATACAGTACTCATTATAATAAGCCAGCAATCAATATTTCACATGCAACGATATTAACATTGTAATAAAATTGGACATTATTAAATAATACTCTGATTGTGAAGAGATTTTTCAATTAGCATACTTAATCCATAAAATAATGAACAGTATCATTACAGATACTTTAATCAAGAGTTATTTATAATATTCACAATATTATAGTGATTAGAATATCAAATAAGGCTCACCTAATAGTAACCGTGGTGTACATACATGAATTAAGCATAATCACGCTATCATGTGGCAATTGTGATAGTACTCATGCATAACCATTCCATAGATAGAGATCATATCATTGCTAATATCCTGTAATTTTACCACCTTATATGTACTTCAAAACACATGTTACAAAGCAAACTTCTTAGCAGCTGAAATAGGTCAGACTCAGGTATCCGGACGACTTTTTAAAAAAGCCTTGATGATAATTGTATGCTCTAAATCGTTATATATTATTTGTTTTTATCAAAAATCAACAAATTTTAAATTTTAAAACCTACAGCACTACACAGATGGACGAAATAACGATAATAATATGACTACCTAGTCCTGTTGTTTGTTCAGCGTATCATATAATTACAGTTCAAGGCTTATACTGAAATCTACAAATATATACCAAAACAAACAACAATCAGTCGTGCCCCGCTACATTGTTTGCCTTGAAATAAATTTCATATCTGTTTGATAACTGTTACATTAATGACTTCCTTGTTTGCTGTTATATTTTGTTTTATCTTATGTTACCACTACTATAAAGAACTACATTACTCTATAACCAAATACAAATTAATAATTACCATTTTCAGTGATGATTACGTCCGTATGCGAACTTCCAAACTTATGAATGTGATCGACAGCTTCATTTAAATCTTTTACTACTTCAATACTGCATTCTAGTGCGCCATATTCATGTCGCATTGATTTCGCAGGTGGAGGGCCGAAAGTCAACTGGCTCGATAATTTTGGACCAGCATGTACTATAACACCTTCATTCTTGAGTACATTGCATATATCAGTAAATAGAGAGCTGTTAACATGGTCTTCATGGATAAGAAGTGTTTCCATAGCATTACAGGCGGCTGGATAATCACATTTAGCATCACGAACAATCTTCAAAGCCTTTGTAGGATCGGCATCTTTGTCTAAGTAAACATGGCAAATGCCTTCAGCATGACCGAGAACAGGTATATGCTGAGATTGCTTTTGAATATTCCTGACGAGATCAGAAGATCCACGTGGAATAATCAAGTCAATATGTTTCTCCATGGATAACAAATCACTAATTTCCTCCCGAGTTGAAACTAGAGATATAGCGTCGTCAGCACCAACTGTTTTAAGAGATTCTTTCACTAAATCCATTAGTGCTTTGTTTGAATGAGCAGCTTCTTTGCCGCCTTTTAGCAAAAGCCCATTAGCTGATGCCATAGCAAGAGCAGCCACTTGTGGTAAAGAATCAGGTCTGGACTCAAATATGACTAACAATACTCCAATAGGAACTGTCACTTGTCTTAGTGTTAAGTTCTCTGCCAATCTCGTCTTTCTTAAAACTCTTCCTACGTTCTCGTAACTAGAATCAGCTATTTGTTTTAATCCTATAGACAAGGTCTTCAATTTTCCTTCACTTAGTGCTAATCTGTTTAATAGAGGCTTAGCAAGACCTTCCTTGGCAGCTACGTCAAGATCCTTTGAATTGGCTTCTAGAATGACATCTTGTTTATTGACTAACAAATCAGCTAGAGAATGAATGGCTGAAGCTCTTTCCGCTGGGGTCAGCTGTTGAAGAGCACGACTTCCCAGACGTGCTGAAAATTTACATTAAATTTAATTTCCATTGTTCCATTTTTATGTAGAAGTAAAATGTTATAGGATAATAATTTTAATTACTCACCACTTTCAGCCATAACATCGACAGATGTAGAAGAGCTAGTTACATGATCAGTAAAGAAAGTTCCTACTTTTCTACCACTGATAATAGTTTTGATTGCTTTTTCTTGCATGCCGTTGCAAATGACAACACTCACACCTCGAGCCATAGCCCAAGTGGCTGCATTTACTTTAGAATCCATTCCTCCAGTGCCAACCTGAATAAATAATTTTGAGTTAATTCAATTTAATTATTTGTATACCGACAAATGATTCTAAGAAAAGCGGATACATTACTAATTAGAAACTCGTATTCCAGTCTATATGATACATTCAAATAACTATTTAAACGCCTGCTCAAAGCTTACTTTGAGTCATCTGATATTATGAGAGCTGATTACCTGTCTCCTACATATTAAGTAATAGTTTCTACGTAATTGTAGTCTTCGGATACAACGGAATTAATTTTCTCGCATCTACACTACTATATGGTTTGAAAATGATACATGTATTGGAAATAAATACTTCATTATAAATAACACTCAATTGTAGGACTGAGTGGTTTTCTTTCTATGTATATGGCAAAGGTTACCAAATTCCATCAGGCCTGTGTGAGTCAAGCTGACGACCTACGCGATTGAAAGTCGATTCCAATTTCATGAAATGAAATACTTTATGCTCACCTTCGATTTCTGACCGAACTGCACTTGTTCCTTTGATGTGTAGGTGTGCATCATCCTAGCACCATCCTCCCAAGGCGGCTTGTTGTATATACCATCGACGTCCGACATCATAATTAGTAAATCTGACTGAATCTCTGCAGCTAGCAGTGCGGAAAGACTGTCGTTATCCTTAATGCCAATACCCTGAGAAAAACAAAATGTTTGGTACTTTTTAAAACAAAGGTAAAATTAAAAACAAAGACCTAATTTAACATTTAAAGTACAATAAACATTAATTTAAACTTTAGAAAAAGCTTGCGAAAGATTTCTAAATGAAAAATATATGTATATGCGTTTGTTAACAAATCACGCTTATTTAAGCTGGACGCATACAAATTACATTTACCTGTGAATTATAATGTCCATTTTCTACGGCCATGCTTTTCTCGACTTCGAGCCATTTTAGATAAACTTGAAATATATGACTGTTTGTTTATGGTTTGTCCTAATATAATAAATGCAGGAATGAGTTTATATATTTATTATGCTTTCCCGCCTTAACGACTCAACTAATCATCATAAAATTTTACATGTAGCTTATTTATCTAATAAATCAAAGTCACGTAGCATGAAAGGTCGAAGCTGGTACAAAAAAATACAATCTTACCTTCTTCCCGGTTCCCGGCACCACGGTGTCATCGTGAATATACATAGGTGGGCTCACAGCATCATTTGTGTTGACAATTGGCACGATGTTCAATGATATCAACTCTGATAACGTGCAGAACAAATTCTTCCTGGTCTCTTCGTTGTAGAAGTCTGGTTTAGTTACTAGTACCTGTTAAAAAGCCATAATACTAATGTAATTTATAATAATACAAGTAGGCATTACCATCGTAGGTATGGGGGGATTATAATTATTTTATATAAAAATCGGTGGGATATATTTTTGCACGTTATAATAAAGTGTATTTCAACAAGTAATAATTGTTACGAGATTCCATAACATCGAATTTACATCCATCAATTTGCAAATTTCATTTTTTAAAAAATGAATACGAACTTATATAATTAATAATGACAGATTAGACAGGTGGGATGGAAAATTACTTTGCAATAATCCCTAAAGTTTCAGAAGGGTTCCGTGATTGTATGTTATAGTAAAATGAATTACAACAAATATAAAAATTAACATATGCAGCATGTGACAACAATTATGTATCTTATGTATTAAGTGTCTTCAAAAAAAAGAGGAAATTATAGTATATCTTATTTTATTTCCTATGGTACTCAATTCTAATTTATTGTGAATAAATACTATTTGACGACCTCAGTCCCCTGGCACACCGTTTTGTTTCCGATAGTCGCGGGTTCATTTCCTCGCATGGTTCAAACATTTATATTCTTCATGAGTATGATTGTTTGTATGGATCTGGGTATTGTATATGTTCTATATATATTATGTGTATGTAAAAAATATCTAAGTATTTATATCTGTCGTCCAGAACCCTTAACACAAGCTCTGCTTACCTTGAGACGAAAGATAAGGTTTAAATTTTAATTCTTGAGGAATAAAGAATTCTTGTACCTATTATAATTTACATTATCAGAAATTAATATAAGTCATATTTGTTTTTTAAAAAAAGATAATTATATATAATTATTCCTGTGCGTAGTTGGCGCGATTTTCTAGCTATATAATATGTGCTATTAAATTACTTATTCCCATTTAAACATAGCAATATAAATGCTATTTTAATTGTAGTTTTAAAGGACTTACTTCATCATCTGCTTCTTCCTTATCCCATTTATTTGGGGTCGGCGTAATATGTTTTTCGCTTCCATTCATCCCTGTTCGCAGTCATCGCGTTATTTACTTCCTTTCTTACCATATCATCTTTCACACAGTCCATCCATCTCTTTTTCGGCCTTCCTCTGCCCTTATAACCATCCACATTCATTTGTAACACCTTTCTTAAAATATTATCCTCGTTCCTACGCATTACATGTCCATACCATGATAGACGATTACTCTTCAACCTCTCTGACACTGGTGCCACTTTCATACTTCCTCTAATGTATTCATTCTTTATCTTACCCATTCTTGTCACACCACACATCCACCTCAACATTCTCATTTCAGTTGCATGCAGTCGTCTTTCATCCGTCGCCTTTACGGGCCAGCACTCTGATACATACAAAAGGCCTTACTTATTGCTACTAAATTCCTCACAGTAAAAATAATAAATGTAATACTCTTTTCTTATATTTTCGTTACCTATCTACCTGAGCGTTGGACTTCCTAATTTTAATTCATAATGACCAGCATAAATAATGGCCTAGGTACAACAAGTCAGTTCTAATTCTGAAAAGCAAACAACTTCTATTGAATTAGGAGAGTGTTTCGCAAAGTTAAATTACTAACATATTATTACTTTAGTTGAACGTTTAAGCAAAGCTTTCGGTCCGTAATAAATAACTTTGCAAAGGATTCCGTGTCTACCGGAAGCAATAACATTAGTGTTTTAAATTAAGATTTATCTTATAAGAAACCTAATTTTAACATACTGTATGAGATCGTATACATACGGTAATCTTATTGCTGGAATAGAATAGAATAGAATTCTATTCTATTATGCAAATATACACTACATTATATGTAAAAAATCGATGAATTATTTGTTCTAACCATTTAAGACATACCTTTGAACCACTACCTATCAACAACAAGAACTATCTACTATATAAAAGTTGTTTAGTATGAAGAATAAAGAAATTACATATATATTAACAACATTATTATCAATAAGCGATAGCAGTTTACTGCTGGATAAATGTATCTCAAAAAGCATACCACTCGGCACGATTATTATCAATTTTTATGTTTACTTTGTTAATAGTAGTTTAGAACTTAAGTGCTATCTTCGTCGTCGATCTGTCATTGTATTAATTTTATTTATTTGTATTATATTAATTTACTAATAAAGGCTATAACAGAATGGCAGAGAGGGTGGACTCACTGCCCCCTCTGAGTTATAGACCGTTTTGTCTCGTTAATTACTTTTAAATTTCATTATAAGCAGCAATTGTATTAGTTTTTGTTTGAGACAAATAAAGGTGATTATTATTATCGGCCCTTACCTACTAATTTACCGCAACATTATGCATGACGTCGCTCCACCTAACTGCAGGGCATCCTACATTATGAGTACGTTTGCCGTATCACCTCTCTAGAACACGTTCTCTCTAACAAACACAGTCTTATTTTGACACTACGATTTTTTGAAGTCGGTTAAAAATACTGCCAAAATATAATGTACAGGCATGTTTTTACTCTATCTCGTTCTTTATTTTAACGTGTACTTAATATCGTTCATGTACCCGTATTATAAACGTCTTTATTGCGGCATCTAAGACGCAAGAACGTGCTGTTCGCGCTCTGAATAATAAACATTCAGCATGCGAATTATATGTCGCAGATAATTTGATAAATTTGGTAAATAACATTACGCTTAGCTCTATTATTAAAACAGCTAAATGTTGTATAATCATTCATTATTTTAAATTTGTATTTAAATCTGTTCTGGCTTTGTATTGTACAAAATTTGTAATAAATCCGTTCTCATAGTATTAATCTTGTATTTCTATTTATCTTTATAAAAAAACTGACTATAAAATGGTTCTGTAATTTGTAGTCTTATTATTGAATAAGACTACAGACTACGGAACCGTTTTATAGTCGGTTTTATAATATTTTTTTATATACTACGATAGTGGCAAACAAAAATACGGCCCATCTGATGGTTAACTGTTACCTCAGCCTTTGGACGCCTGAAACGACAGACCACATACGCGTTGTTGACCCTGGCATTATCACCATATCCAAACTATCATGTAGCACCTACTTCCACAGAGATTAATAAATGTTACATCTACGTAATATGCAATCAATGCAATTTTTAATTGGCGAAAATAGATCCTATTATCGTATAACTGTAACACTGCATTTTGAAAAATAACATTCACACGAATTACTGTCGAATTGAGAACTTCATTTTGGTGATCAATTGAAAACAGCTGAATTCTTTTAATACAGCTGGTCGTTATTAAATGCGGCGTATTCTATAATTTGACTGCGACATACTCGTACAGCAGTACGTCAATATTTCATGAACATAACGACATCACATACAAATAAATGGCAAAATACCAGTCAATTGGGTCAAAACCTTATTATTTATTAAACTTATATCATATTGGACTGTCAGCATTAATAGTGAAGTGAATATTTAATTATCCGAACTGACGGTGATAAATGGAGCGAATTTTAATTAATAATCTAATTAGTCCATATAATATTATTAATGTCAGTCTTTATCTCTGTATGTTTATTACATATTTACAACTGAACGGATTAACGCTATTTATTTTAATATAATGTGACTGTGGTATGCTGAGTCTTATTGACTCCATTGTAGGTTTGTGAGGTATGTAAATCGTTTCGGAGAGGACAGTCTTTTCATGTTAGATACATCGTACTAGCTGTTTTTGGTATCTTCGTTAGATTTTCTGAGATAAATTACACGGTACGATTACTAGAATGCACATCACGACAAATATCGATAAGATCCGTTCGGCCGTTTAGGTATGAAAAAGTAACAAATATTACATATATATATTTGTTACTTTTAAGTAGCAAATTTAATTTTAACTATACACCTAACAATCTCACTAAAAACTCACTCGACTCGAAAATGATAAATGACATTTCACTGTAAGTATTATTATATTTCATTAAATTATATTTTCATTCTAAAACAAAAGGTTCCTTAATTTTGAACAGCGCTCTAAATTTCCCAAGAAAATTAAGTACAGTTGAAACCGAGAGGTCGCGTTACAAATTTGCTTTAACCTTTTTCGTAAACCGATTTCGAATGAAATTGACATTCCCTTACACAAGGGATGGATTAAAATATGCTTATTCATTACTCTTTTGTTAAATTTTATGTTCCATTTTAATTGAGAGCATAAAGTTTACATTCGTTAATGGACCGAAATACTTTTTTAACTCATGTAGCAGGATATTAAACTGATTCCTCTTTAGAACCATTTTTATTTTATCATTTAATAAAATCTTAAATACAGTAATCAGGTAACTAATTTCCTCTTGATTTTGATCAAATTAAGTGATTTAATATTAACAGAAAATCTTTCTTTGTATATTAAGTAAACAATCGTGATAAAAAATTATAAAATTAAACAACCTAAAACGATTAAATATAATAATTTGTGTGTAACGAAACCCCAGTCATATCTATCTTATTATAGTTATGGCTCACCTATATAGCTTTATACCTTAAAATTCTCAAATTTGTAAACCAGGTTAATATAAAAAATATTTTTATAAAATTTAATCCGAATCAGTACACAAAATACACGATTATATTATGAAAAATATTTATATCGATGAAATCGATTTTAAATTAGTTTTACTTTCAATTATACGTGTACCTACTTAGATTTCACGCTTAGAATTCAAACCCGCAATATAAAACAGGGATCGTCCTAATACCTATGTTCTGACCGCATTTATGCAGAAAATTAGCATTTCAGATGTGCAAGTTTACGTGTTTTTATTATTTTTTATGCAAATTGGAGGAGACACATCGCGGAATATTAAATTTATTTCAAATGCAAAAACATATCAAACATACTTTTTGAGAATATTCATAAAAATAAACGTATTACAATCTACAAGCCCTTTTTATGTACAATTGATTAAATAATGTTATCAAATAAAGTTTGGATACAATATGTTTGTCTATAGAATCAAAACAAATAGGATTTTTTAATAAACTGAATAATATTTTTTTACTCTTTAATCTAATCAATCACCAAACAATAAACACACCAGACCATAACAACAGATAACAAATTATATTTACGTACTATCTTTACCTATAAATAAATAATCAATTACAAATAATTGTACACTAAAATAATCTTACATAAAATATTTTGCAAGGTTTTGTTGAACTTAATCTTAAAATAATTATAAACCTTTATCTTTGAATTTTTAGGCGTTTTTATGATCAAATTTAGATGTTCTTGTAGTTTTCTTGTAATATATTTTTTTTAATTATCATTTAATGTTAGTACGAACCTGTCAATTTAATAAACAAATCACTGAAATCGTTTTACTCTTGTCGAAAGTGACATAAAAGCAAGAAAATACAATCAATTGGTATCTTCTATTTTGTGATGTCGCTAAGCTAGTTAAAATAATTCATACCTGTGCTATCTTGACGTTGTACTGCGAGAACATAGCGTCGTACATTGACATGAGCTCAGACTGGCCTACTGCTGCCGCAGCTCTCGGGTCCAAGATACTGCCTGCATCCTATATAATAAAAATCGAATATCAATTCATTAAGTGATACCCTCACTATAAACTTTCATATTATTTTTTTATTTTTATTCTATCAGGGCGAGTTAAGATTCAAGACAAAAACATCTTGGATATTAATTTCTAAATAATAAAGGCGTTCTATAAATAATTATTATAATTGGAAATAAATACTACAATATACTTAATATAAATTAAAACCGATAGATTCAGTAATTTTAATGTATGCTGAACATTGCAATTACTCAATTTATAAATATTCATAATATCAATTCGCTTTAAAACCTCTCAGTTATTTACTCTTTATTTCATTCTTTCATGTAAATAATTGTATATAAGATGGGTTATCTTATATTTCAAGGATAATACTGTAACTATATAAGACTCACTTTCATCCTAATTGCATATATAGTAATTTTATCTACAAATTTACTCAATGTTCGAAGATGTACAGTTAACATATGTATACCAATGATGCTGTATGCATTATAAATCAATTACATAAATATAGCATTTAAAAAGTATAATATACAAAAAGATACAAAAAGTTATAGTTACCTCTCTAGTATGATCACTAGGTGACAACGTCTCTCTCATAGATAAGGACATCAACAGTTCCTGAGTAAGCTTTTGTCTTCCAAACGCCACTGCTCCACTTGTTACCATGATACACTCCCGACCTTCATGGTGGCACTCGGCAACCTAAAAACATATAATTTAATAAAAATCATATTTACTTAACGTTATCAAAAGTATTTACTATCAGTCTAAGTAGATCGTCTATCTTATGTTTTGAAGAACCACTCTCGCATTTTAATGGGTGATAATGGAGTGGTACTTCACCTATACATATATACCTATAGCACAGGCATCTGAGAATGCATATGAGTGCAGTGGATGATGATATGAGTCCGTATAGTTAGGTTGTCACAGCGAGTTCACCAGGAATTTACGACGATGGTTTCTAGGGGGGACTGATTGCAAGTGAACATGACATATCACTGAAGTTCCCGATAGCAAATTCGTGGACAAACGAACTACAAATTACTAAACATGTACTAAATCTCCAACGAACCAACTACTACGAAACTAAAAAGTATATAAAATGCTCTTAGTTACAGATGCATCGTTGTAAAAATCTTAAATCGTTGTAAATATTTTTATGTACAGACAATTACATTAAGTGTAAAGGAACAGACAGTGAAAATTCAATTAAAAACTTCCTATTAGCTAATTGTGTTAAATTACAACCTTCTGTACAGAAACGAATTGTTCGTTTCTGAGATAATGAATGAAAGTACATTTTGAAGTGTCATTTCGACAAATCATTGACAAAATGGAAATGTGTTTTCAAAGTGAATTGAAAATTAATGGCAGCGGATTTCAATGAAACGATACAGACGACAGACAATGAAGTAAGAGCTTCGAAAGTGATTAAGGCAGCTGGGAAAGTGCCTAATGTAAAAATGGGTGGTAGCCAATACAATCAATCTGATCTTTGAAGACATCTCGAAGTTCATGACGTGCATTAGCAAAGATTTATTTATTGTTTTTATTGTGATGTTTAATCTAAATATTCATCAGAAACGTGGACATGTCAAGTTTTTATTTCATGTTATCAACAACAACGATAGGTGACAATGCTACCCATCTAGAACTGCACTCGCGAATTATTTTATTTTGAAAAGCTAAAGTTAAGATAAAACGTTAAAGAATTAGATATTGTTTAAAATTCACCGTTGCTTTTTAATGGTTGTTTACAATTATATCAGTTTATATATGGAGCTCTTTAATCATGTTAAAATAACTCACTTATATGTGTACAATTGTATAAGAAATACTCAAATAGATTTATCAAGCATTAGAAATTTACAAGAAAAAAGACATGATATAGAAACATTAATAAAAATTATTTAAAAATTAATACGGATAATTTTGCAACATGTAATTATAGGAATTAATAGGGATGACCTCATCGTTATAGGGGTAATAGTTTCTCCTTCCTATTCCCTTATGATAGATAATTGCTATTTCTATTAATTGATGTAGCATACAAACTATCTAATTACTACTAATTAGAACAATAACAACTGAGTTCAAGCACTAATTACTAACTAGAATAATGTGAAATAGGATAGGATTACTATTCTATAGAAAAGATTAAGTTGAAGAAATTTCTTAATTAGTAAGTTAGATATAGATCCTTATTTATTTTATAAGCGGAAAAAATTATCTGTTTGTAACGATTAAACTAAAAAATATTTAACCGAATTGAACATTTTTTCACCATTTAAAAGCTATGGAATCAGTAGGTAACATGCACTGTATTTCACGCAAGCAGTGCCGCAGATTATAGCTAGTGTTATAAAATACTGTAAAAACTACATAAGTCATTATAATCATTATCTAAGATGATGTCAGATCAATCAATATTATATTTTCTAGGATTACTTGGTGCAGTACCTGTTCAACAATAGACGCCAGACGCCCTAAAGCCAGCCCATTTCCATCTTCCCTGGTGATGACGGCACTGCCAAGCTTCACGACAAGTCTTCTAGCGAACTTCAGTTGAGACCTGTCAGTGAAGGTTTTCTGTCTTCTTTCAGCACTCGCCAGCGATCGCTTATCGACACCCGTACCCTGAAAATATATGGAATGTTAAAAATAAATATACTTTTTAATATTTTTTTGTAAATGGAATGACATACAAGCTGACAGAACATTTGATGGCAAGTGGCAACCGTCGCCTGTATGAACATCACTACGAATATCAAGTCTTCATGAGACTATCCTATAATATATAATATGATAATAGGGGTACTATTATCATATTATCAGTTGCATAGCCGTAGAACCGTAGGTGTATTCTGCCGCAAAATTTATATCCACAGCAAGTGGAAAATATTGAGAAAATCGTGCTTAAAGCTGAGCATCTACAAACTATAAACATTTCGTTTAGGAGATATTTTACGCTTAATAATAGAATTCTGTATTTCTGAAGTGTGGGAAAATCAGTACTATTTTTAATATAATAAAACCTTAGTAGTGGCATTGTGTATTTAATTATCTAAATATAAATTGTAATGTCACTACCTATAATGTATTTCAGCATATTAAGTTTAATTATAGCATAGAATTTTAATTATAATAAATAACCATAATAAGTATAGATTATGAATAGTTGTCCCGGAATTAACCATGATAGTTTCCGAAGCAACTTTCTGGTGATCCTCCTGAAGTTAGATCAGAGGGCCTAGTTTTCTAATTTACAAGATTTACCAAAGCCTACTCAAATCTGCCCACGCCGAAACGTTGGATCAATTAAGAATGATACCAGTAACCACTCCAGTAATGGAAAACTAAATCAATTCCAAAACTGGTGATGGGTCTGCTCGCGAAATTAGATTCAAATCAAGCATACAGCAGATGTCCATACTAATATTACGAATCTGAAAGTGTACCTTTGTCTGTTACCTTTTCATAACTAAATGATTGAACAATTCTTAATAAAATTTTACGTGAATTTTATGATAATAATAATATAATGTAGATTTTATCAAAAATATACTCATAAAATTATTTGGAAGGAGGTTGAATAGGAAATGAAAGCATGTATCAATCTCTTCTAAAGTAAGGAATATAAAAATTATCATAAAATATGACTACTAATTCTAAGAAGACGATATGGAGAGCATCACGTACTTTAATACAACTACAAAACATTGCGGAATGAAGTAAGTGAATACCTTTTTCCTTCCGTCCTATACTTATACTCTTTTTATTTGACTCTAAGTTTCAAGTTTTTATTAGTTCTAGTCGTATACCATAGCACTGTACCTGTAGTTACCTTATCTATCCTGTCAAATTACTATCTGCTCAACAATGCTATCAGTAAAACTAATCCAATTCGCAACGTGCGTAAATTTTCGCACGCAACAAACACTTTAGCATTTTATGGGCTTTTTTTGAGTTGCAGTATTTCGCTGTGTAGGTACTTTAACGGTTTTACTTAAACTAGGCCACGAGTTGAAAGTCACTCAGTGATTGATGGAAAGAGTTATGCCTCAGTGTTTTACGGGATTAAATTCGGAACGACGAGATTCGACAGTGAACCAAAGTGATTGACATATTTCTTAAAATAGGAACATATAGACGGAACGTGGCAGATGGAGACATTAAGATAAATACCATTGTCTAAAGGAATGATGCTGATGGCATAATGTTTGTAAATCCTTACGGAACTCTTATCCTTAAATCTTTACGAAAAGAATTACTTATATTATAAATGCAAAATAACTCTGTCTGTCTGTTGTCGCACATTCACGACAAAACTACTGAATCGTACTACTGTACACAGATAATCTATGTATAAATAAAAATGACGTTCAAAGTTTGTAAGAACTTTATTTTTAATAGGCGATGAAAGTTTGTACAGGATTTCGTAATTTTTGAAGATAGAACGATGAGACCATTGTTACTTTGAATTTTTATGGTTAGATTAATAAATATTTTATCTTTATTTGATCACTATTCTACGCGGATAAAGTCGCGGGCACAGCAAGTAGTAAATATATTAGAACATGTGAGGTCACATAAAAAATACAAAATAATACCACAATACGATAATTTCAGCAATACAGAATAACTAAATCTTTGTCTTTAAATAAAATCGAAATTATTTAAATCTTGAAGAAATCATTATAGATACGATATTACACACAAGAATTTGTATCCAAAATAAATATATGTATTCCTACAAATAAAATCAAAACAATGTTTTACGCTTTGATATCTTATTAAATAAACAGTGTTGTTTTAAATAGAGAGTTTATTTACTGTTTTTTTACATATATTTTATATTTTTTATAAAGTCTGCTATCAAATTTGGGATCTCAAACGAAACAATAATATTGGTGTAATAGAATGTAATATCTTATATAATATCTTCACACTTCATGCCTTATCAAGGAATCAAACGCATAACAGACGTAAAAATGAATAAGAAGGTAACTACACAATTCACAAAATTCTACATCCAAGAAAATACGTAGGTAGTATAAATACAATGTATTAGTTCTCTTTTCTTAAATGTATCTAATATACTTAGTTGCCAGTGAAGACTTTAGTGCTGAATTGTCTAATATTACTCCTTCGTTATCTAGACTACTTTAAACTGAACAAATTAATTTAAACCTGAGAAATCAGTCAATATAGCGAATCAAATTTAATTTTAATTTATTTTTAAAGTTTTAATCCTGAATATATCTGGCATAATCGCTATATTGAATATCATATATAGTAGATCATAGTGTTTTGTCTGTAGAGTGAACGCACAATCTGAAGTGGGTAGACTTACCCCACTACACAAATACAAGTGTTTTAATACATAATCATAAACATTAATTACAAATCTAGAGGAGTCTCACGATTAAATTTGTAATTAATTTTTATTCTTACAATTTAAAAGTCAAACGCTAGTGGCCAAAGTAATTTGTTACTAGCCAGTAAAAAGTGAAATTATTTCAGGCAAAAATCTAGATTTTTAATTAAAGTACAAAGCTCCAAAATTTAAGCCAAATTGTCGTCACGTATAACCTAGCCTGCGACGGCTTGGTTTTTATATCTTGCTTTGTAATTAAGTTTAAAAATTTCATTTTTAGTCATTATTTCTGAAAAGGAATAGTAATAACGTAAAACTGTTCTAATTATATGTTAAAAATACATTTTATTTTATGTTTTGTTTTTTCAGTAAATACAGTTATATTTTTATTTCTTCAATACAGAGACAAAGCAGGAGCAATGAAACGCGAATGACATAAAATAGAAGTATATTATTATAATATTAATATAAATTGATTTAGCTCCTAAATTGCCCATATGCAGCAGACCATATAAAAACTAGTACTTACTTTTTATCAGGTACATCGTTAACTAAACTTAAATAAAAAATCAGAACTCTGAATTGAATAATTAATTTAAGTATACAAAGATTTAACCATATGTTGTAGTATGGCAGCTTACCGTTAATTCTGTAGAAGCCAAAATTAGAAATTTATTACTCCATAGAAATACATGATGTTGAATAGAGGAAATTTAGTAAACAATATTAACTGAAATGAAATTTATTCACTCTAAACAGTTAATTAACGTTGGTTGTGTGACAAATATGTATTTTGTAGCTGTTTAAATAACACAAATATTTGGCTCTCAAAAGTTGAATAATTATGTTCATTCTAATTCGTATTATTGTATTAAGTATAATATCGTCGACGATATCGTCCACGTAGAACCTTGACCATAAAAAGAAAAAAGATTTGATTATCTGACCCAAAAAGCCAAAGAATAAAGTAAATAAATGAAGAATTTCCATACAAACTTTCAACGTGAGACAGACAGACAAGGTTACTTTCGCACTTATAGTATTAGTATGAATTGTCTTAGAAATACATTATTATTCTGGATAGTGTAATATAGTCAATAATAATTTATATGTCAAGTGAAATGATTAATGTAATCCTTTACACGTTAAATACCATATCATAAATATACCAAATCAATGCCAAGACTTAAAGTCATTATCTACTTATAGATAATACAAACCTAAACACTATTGGATTTATTATTTAATTATTGATAATTAAACAATAAAAAACTCGCTAAATTCGCATGTGGATTTTTATTAGTGTAAGTAACCAAAATGTCCTATTAGTTTGACTATGAGTACAAAACTAGTAATATAATGTACTAGCTCTAGCTGTTCCGATAAATGTTTTGTCATGTAAATTCATATCTCTATTAATAAATAGGGGGTGTAATAATATTTTTAATGCCACGTAATAAAAAATATAAAGTAAAAATGTTGTTCAATATATGAAAAAAATGGTTGGACATCCTTATCAATTAGGGATATAAGAAATAGATAACAACCTATATTCAGATCTACCGAGTCAAAATCATTAAAATCTGTTAAGTCGTTTCGGAGAAGTATAGCAGCTAACATTGTTACACGAGAATTTTATATACACGCACATTTTTTATTATTCCATCGTAATAAAAAAAAGATTGTTTCTATTTTTAAACCAAATTTCGCTAACACCCACAATATGTATTGTAATACAGAAACTTCTATTTTCATAACATATTTTTATGCAAAAAAGTTTTTTATTGTATCGGATGAGATCAAACAAGTCGGCTTTATACCCTTTAATGTGCATAAATATAAAATACTCTTTAATGTACATCGGAGAGGGAAAACGGAATCTGAAAGGATAACGTTATTAGGACTAAATATTTGCATACTCAAATATTAAAGGCATCGTGGGAGAGTACACCTGGGAAACGGGGATTCGAACCGAAAGTAGGTAATCCGGAAAACACCGCCGCAGCATTGATAATCCGAACTTGAACTAGTGATGTGCATTAACATTCGAATACAGAATTTTATCAATTTAGCACGGAATAGTAATAATGACCCAGGAAAATTAACATAGCGCCATCTAGTACAAACTAAAGGGAACTTATATAACGGATATTAGGCACTTGATAAAGATATTGAAACATTTTTTTAATAAATTCATACTAACATCCAGCAAGTATATACGTACGTATACGAAATATATATAAAAAAATAATGAAACTCC